TATATAAATACTATTCTTCTCGAAACTATGGAAAATACGTCATCATCATGTATAAATTTTTGTATTCAGCGTTCACTTCACACACAATATTTTTTATGAAATACTATATAAACGATGTATTATAATAAACCTTTGTATATTCAAGTTTCGTCTAATATGCAACATATTTTTAGGTTGAAAACAATGAAAACACTCATAAAATATTATRTTACATGAATAATTCTCAGATGGACGATGGTGAAAATATTCAGTGATAGCTATATATTACTGTAGAAGAGAAGTGTGAGACCGAGACGTGAATACGTATCTGTGTTTGTGTGTGTGTATACAGTATAATATACCGTATTATATATTTATATATGGGTGTATGTGTAACGTATAATGTATATAATATATACCGTATATGTGTGTGTGTATAATATGCATACGTAGTATATGGGTGTGTGTGTATAAATTTATAATATAATGTGTGTGTGAATTACAATTTTATTGTAATTTTGTTGATTGATCTCTAAAATACTTAACATAGAACCACAGAACAATAGAACATTAGTACATTACTAATATTTATAAKAATAATAATAATAATAGTTCAACCAATAGAATTCTACTGATTAATTTTATTTTAGCTAGTGGCTACACTGCATTTTTCATATCATATTATCTTCGAATATAGTTATCAATTTATCATTTATATTTTATAATATCACTAAACGTTTTTAAGTTTTGTATTTGTACTGTTTTTACTTTTTAGTGTTTACTTTTACTGTAAGTTAACTTTTTGAAGTTTTACAAATTGCAGTACTATAGTGAAAGTGAATAATAATATAATTGCTTTAATTTTATTAATTTTCAAATTTTATATTATATCATTGACTATGGCGCAACATATGAACACTGCTGTAGATGAAGACGCCGCGTTGTTGCAATTTCCTAAAGAATTTGAAAACGCTGAAACCTTGCTTATTTCTGAAGTATATATTTATCACTTATAAACGATAAATCTTACTTCCGAGTTTAATAATACGATTTTGATTCTAGGTAAATATGTTGTTGAAATTTCGCAAAAACCAAAATGAGAGTGCGGAGGAAGAACAAGAATTTTCCGAAGTGTTTAACAAAACTTTGACTTACACAGAACAGTGTTCAAAATTCAAAAACAAAGAAACCATTGTTGCTGTGAGAAACTTACTTGCCGGCAAGAAATTACATAAGTTTGAACTGGCGTCAATCGGTAACTTATGTCCACAACTCGCCGATGAAGCGAAATCACTAATACCCAGTTTGGAAGGTAGATTTGATGATGATGAATTACAACAAATTCTGGATGATATACAAGCTAAATTAAGTATTCAGTATTAATTAGATTTTACCAATCACTTTAAATAAATTGTATTAATGTACTTATGGCAAACAAATTCTTTTAATTTTGCATTTCGTGTAATTATTAAATAATTGCTGTGATGATTAAAAATATTTTTATGTTTCCAATAATCTAGAAATTTGTCTACTTGAAATTTACCTATAATATTTTTTTAATGTATATTTTAACATATTATGGTTATAGTTGATAYTATAACTCAGTTAAAAGTCTGAAATATTATTTACTTTATTTTAATGTGTTTTAACTTATAATATAATATGATAGTAGTATACTATTTAGTTTCAAATAAAAATTACCATTAATGTGTTACCTATAACTTTAAATTATGTAAATATTAAATGGTAATGTATATAATGTACTATCATTCGATTATTGTTAAGATGAGCCATCTATTAGACTTTTTATGTTATAATTTACAGTTGCACTGTGTTTAAGCAACGGCATAAAACAATTAGGTGATTATTATTAAGCTATTAAAGAGATTTATAAATTCTTGTTTGATTGTATATGATATTTTTTAAAGTATTGGTAAATTAAAGGTATGAAGAGAAAAACATACTAACTCTATGGTTAAATAGATAATTTCAATTTCAACAAGTTTTTACTTGCATTATATTTTTAATCTGCTATTCCAATACTATGAAGTTTAGTATGCATGATATTGTAATATTGTAACAATACATAAGTTTGGTGTTATTTGGGATTTTATAAAAATGTTATGAATAAGAACATTTTGGAAAAAAGTGGATAACTTGGTATTGCTGTTTCACAGTGAATGTCCAGTGCGGCAATGCATCTTGTCATTGAGTGGTTTGAGTAAGTATGTGTCAAATTTAAATTCAATGATAAACATAGACGTGCGCACGAGGGTGGCAGGATGGGCAGCTGCCCTTCCTCCTGGCTATTTTTTTCTCCCAAATTTAGTTTAAAAAAAAAAAAATATTAAAATTGTATATTACAATGAGTCAATGAATAATATATTGTAAATATTGAGTATACAGTCCACGATAATTTTGTGTTGTCAAAGGTCCGACTTTGTTCAAGTCACAAGCGATACCGTGTTGATAATGTGTGTTAATAGATACACGGCAATAATACTAATAACCAAAATAATATTCAATTATATATTATATAGTATTTATTATAATATACTATATAGTATATATTATAATACTACTGTATAAAATATATTCATTCTGCCCTCCCCTGTCAGCAAGGTCTGTGTAAGCCTATTGTGATAAACAATACAAAAAATAATTCTAATATAGGCTATGTTAGAAAGTACATTTTATTATGTATTAATATTGCTACTGTAATAGTTTATTTTAGTATTAATAATAGGACATAGGTACAGTAGATTGAATTATTTTAT